CAATTTTTTCACTTGATCATATACATTCAATATCACAGGACAATTTTTACTTTATCTTAATTATATTAATAGGCGAATGTAGCAAAAATTGAACCTAGGATTACAAGTTGTAATATTTATTTAAAATTTTCTCTCCATTGTTGTGTATGTCATGTACACATTCATTTTTGTTATCAACCAATATCCAAGTTTGAATAATTATTTCATGGTAATTAACGATATATGTTTTGTGAGATTCCATGTCGGTTAGAAAGGAAAATAAAACATTCCTTATAAGAATGTGCAAAACTCTCCGTTGTGGATGAGTTTTAAAATTGTGAGGCTAACATCGATATATAATAGGTCAAAGCGGAAAATATCTGCTAGTGGATAGGTTTGGGCCGTCACAAATGATATCAGAACATCGAGACAGACCGTAAAATCCACCTTGAAGCTGATGACGATACGTAATAGCTAACGTGAACTTGAACAGTTATATGTTTACTCACGGAAATATAATGTAATTGATAAGAATGAATTTGATAGGTAAATTCTAAAACTCTTAAATCTACTCAATTTCAATCCTACCTTACCTTGTGATTTATGATCAAGAGATAGAGAAAATTGATGAGACTTAGTTGAATTTCATTATAAAGCTCGAGAATAAGAATGGGAGAGTGATAAATCTCATAGTACTTTTCAACTATTCTTTCTTCCTAATTCACGTACTTGAAGAAGTACTTTTTTCTTAAACCAAGACCACCTCCCCAACCCTTCATTAAGATTAAGCGTCATTTTCCCTGGGGACCTGGACCACCGCTGACTTGCTACCATCGCGTGTACCACCTGGTTGCCCTGGGTCTCTAAATTGGACCTCATAACTTGCATCGCATCAATGGCACCCCTAGTGTAGATATTGGTTCTTGAGGGATCTCTTGGGCGGTGGTGCTTGGGGAATCTCCCTTGCTACTTCCTGAGGTCTATTCATCTGCTTAACCTCAGTGATTTGTATTCAAAGTCAAGCCAAATTCAAGAATACTGCTGTTCTTGAACTCCCATCTCCAATCACATTCTCTTTTGGACATCTTTACAAAATTTGTTCCAAATAATCTCCTAACACTTTTTGAATAGTTTTCAGAAGCTATTATTTATTACAACTGTTGAATCTAAACAAAAACAAGAACTAAAAAATTATAACTCTTACCTTCGATTCTTCCTCATTACTTGGTCCATTTGGTGATTCAAAAGTCTAAACCTATTAGTCTTTTATGTTCTTAGCAACTTTTGTTAATGGCTCTGGCCCTAAATGTTATTGATTTAGATTTGATTTAGTTGTTTGGATTAGATTTGATTTTATTATTTGAATTAGATTTGATTTAGTCCAGATTTAGTGGATTTCATTTGTTTTCGATGTATTCTGTAATACTATATAATAGCCAACTTCATACTAGAGGGAGATTTCTTCCAATTTATCTGTTCTTTCCGGTTTTCTCTCTCTGTTCCTAATATTATGGTATTAGAGTCATGCCCTAACTAGTTAAAACTAGAAGCAGCATTCTTCTACGTGTGTCATAATAAAAGTATGTCGATGGAGAGTCCAGTTGTGCAGTTTGCTGGAGGAAGGAGTCAAGGTCGTGGAAGCTTTAGAGGAAGGGGATGAGGCAAACAAACCTTCAACAAGGCCACAATGGAGTGCTATACCTGTCACAAGCAAGGACATTTTCAATGGGAATGTCAAAGCAATAACAGACAAGGCAAACAAACCTTCAACAAGGCCACAGTGAGGTGCTATAACTGTCACAAGCTAGGACATTTTCAATGGGAATGTCAAAGCAATGCCAGACGAGGCAGACAAACCTTCAACAAGGCCAATAGAGAAGATATGTGGTTCCTTGACTCGGGATGTAGCAATCATATGTGTGGGAAGAAGGAATATTTTTCAGATTTTGATGGAAGTTTCAGAGATTCAGTGAAGCGGGGCAACAACTCAAACATGGTTGTAACCAGAAAGGAATTTGTTGAATGGAAGTGAATGGAATCATAATGATAATCATAGGAGTGTTCTATGTGCCAGACTTGAGGAACAATTTGTTGAGTATTGGTAAATTGCAAGCAAAGGAGGTTACCTTTTTGTTTCAAAATGGAACGTGCAAGGGGTTTCATCCTGAGAAAGGCTTAATCATGAAGACAAAGATGTCCTTGAATCGAATGTTCGCACTGCATGCTATACCTCAGCCTGTAGCATCCACTTGTTTCAATACAATCACAGAAGATATTGAGCAACTTTGACATTGTAGATATGGACATTTGGGCTTTAAGAGATTAAAGACTCTTCAACGAAAGATGGTGGATGGTTTACCACAACTCAAGTCTCCATTGAGACTGTGTAAAAATTGTCTGGTGTGTAAGCAACAAAGGCACTCGTTTCCAAAAAGGAGCACATGGCAAGCTTCAAAAATTCTCCAATTGGTGCATGCTAATATTTGTGGACCGATCAAACCCATCTCAAACAGCAAGAAAAGGTACTTGATTACTTTCACAGATGACTTCAGTAGAAAAACATGGGTCTATTTCTTAATAGAAAAATCAGAAGCCCTTGCTGTATTTAAAAACTTTAAGATTCATGTTGAGAAGGAAACAAACTCATTTATTAAAGCCTTACGAACGAATCGAGGAGGAGAGTTTACATCACAAGAATTCACCAATTTTTGTGATGTAAAGGCATACAAAGACAACTGACAACTGCATATACGCCATAGTAGAACGGAGTTGCGGAACGAAAAAATAGAACTATTATGAATATGGTTCGTAGTATGATTTCAGAAAAGAAAATTTCGAAAAGTTTTTGGCCTAAAGCAGTTAACTGGACTGTGCATGTACTGAATCGAAGTCCAACATTGGCTATCAAAAATAAAACTCCAGAAGAAGCTTGGAGTGGAGTCAAACCTTCAGTTAAGTATTTTAGAGTTTTTGGATGTATCTCTCATGTTCATGTGCCTGACCATAAAAGAACTAAGCTGGATGATAAGAGTTTGAGTTGTGTTTTGCTCGGAGTTAGTGAAGAGTCAAAGGCTTATAGACTCTATGATCCAACTTCACAAAGGATCATAATAAGTAGGGATGTTGTATTCGAGGAAGAAGAGTTGGGACTGGGATAAGACCTATGAAGAATCCATTATGTGCGATCTGGAATGGGGTGATCAAGAGGAGGCAGCAGATGTGTTTGATGAAAATGAAAAAGGGAGCGAGTCTGATATAGAAGCTGCAGAGGAAAATATTTCCTCTGGCTCTTTGGCTGAAGCAAGCTCTCCTTCTCCGGCTGAAGCAAACCCTCGAGGAATAGGAGACCACCAATCTGGAGTTGGTGCATTGTGGCACAGAGGAACAGTTAGCTGATGTGATGACTAAACCACTAAAATTGGATGCTTTCTTGAAGTTATGAGAACTACTGTGAGTATGTTAGGACGTAGATATAAACTGATTACTATTTGTGTAGGAACAGTTAGCTGATGTGATGACTAAACCACTAAGATTGGATGCTTTCTCGAAGTTAAGAGAACTATTGGGAGTATGTTATGACGTAGATATAAACTGATTACTATTTGTGTTCAGTTTGAGAAGAGAACTATTGGAAGTATGTTATGATCTAGATATAAACTGATTACCATTTGTGTTTAGTTTGAGGGAGGAATTGTTAGGATTGATTTAGATTTGATTAGTTGTTTGGATTAAATTTGATTTAGTTATTTGAATTAGATTTGATTTAATCCAAGGTTTAGTTGATTTGATTTGTTTTTAATGTATTCTATAATGAAGAGGGAGATTTCTTCCCATTTATCTTTTCAGTTTTCTCTCCCTATTCCTAACACTAAATACGTATCCCTTAAGATATTTCTTTTGAACAACTTCTTTTCTATGTTCTTAGCAATTTTGTTAATGGCTCTTGGCCACTCAATACGTACCCTTATGATATTTCTTTTGAACAATTTTTTTTTATTTTTTTATTATTATTATTATTATTATTATTTTTTGGGTAACAAGTAGCCCTTGTGAGATCTAAACATCCCAACGAACGAAAGGATAAGGGTCTTAAACAAATAAATTATTTACCCTAATCAGTAATTTTAGGGATTTTAGGTCTTTGGAGAAAGACTTGGAAGGAGAAATTAAGTGTAAATGACAAAAATATCATTTTTCAATTTTTAAAGAAGTTTTTTGGATTTTTAATTCCTTATGAGAAGGAATTTCAAGAGAAAAGGGTAAATAATTTTTAAAAATTTTTTAGATTATTCAGGAAAAAATAATAAAATATTTCGAAAATGAAAAATTACCAAATACCCTTAAACTTCGAAATATTTACAAAAATTCCATAGATAAGAAAATCAGGTCGGCAAGGGTGAGCAGTAATCAGAAAATCTCTTGAATCATCAAATTCAACTGTTGTATCACTAAATTCGAGTATGTCCCAGAGGAGGCATACCTCATCACATCCAACGACCAGAATTCAAATTGGAGGTCGATAGCTTGCTAATCGGATATGATATTTCTGACAAATAATCCATAAAACTCATTTTACAAATCAAGAAAATTATGGAGGTTTCAACGTGGTTTAAGCTTCCTATGTAAAGTCTAAAGTTGGTGCATTCATTTGAAACTAGAATCAAGCAAGGTCGAGCTCTCAATCGTGAGTTATAGCCGTTTAGTTTTTGAATTTTCTACTCTTGGATTTCTTTCAAATTCGAGGGCAATTTGTCTACCATTTTAGTTAAAATTTGTTCCTACAACTTCAAAACAAGATTACCCACAAGTTTTACGAAGGAATGAAGTGCTAAAAGAGCCTAAAACTCTGTAACGACCCGAAAATTTTGAAGGTCTCGAGCCACGGATCGTTACTCAAGAATGTCGAAATAAGAAAAATGCGTCAAATTTTAAAACATTTAAACACGTGCATGTAAATTGAAATTTAATTAAAGTAGTAATGAAAATTTTGTTTTTATAAAGAAGAGAAAAGACCACTAAGATACAACATCTTTCAGACAACTATTTAAAATACGTGAAAGGCCGGATTTAAAGGTAGGTACAAAGAAACTCGACTCAAATGTGTTGGAACTCTCTATAGCCAACAGCCCCGTGTGCCTTCGCCTCGACCGCTACATCAATTTCCGCCTGAAAAGAAAGTTGGAGTAGCAGGGATGAGTATATAAAATATAATCAGTAAGCAGCTTGCTGGTAGTTCGTATTTTGTTATTAAGTCTTATTAATCTTGTTCCCACGTTTGGTATCTTATTCTCTCACCGGGATTCATTCCCCCAGATAAGCTTCTTCCTACGTTACACTCTAAGATTTCTTATTCCACTCTCTTGGTTCACGGTCCTATCTGGACCTCCAGCCCTCGGAATATTCTTAGGTCCTCTAGGTCTCCTAGTTAGTCGCTTCTGCTAGCCACTCTGATCACCGTCATCATATCTCAAGCACTCGAGGCGCGACCTCGGTGTTCAGGGTTCATGCATTCCAAGACTCGAACAACTCTCAAGTGTACCACTGTAGACCCCTGCCACTCGTGACAGGTTCACTTAGAGGAAACTAACTGGCAAACTCCCCATAAGTGCCTACAAGGTACCATCAACAATAAAATGGCCAATTCTATAGTTACGCGGACCCCTGACGATCGAGTCAGGTTTAGGATTAGAGGTTAGTTGGCGAACCCCTAATCGTCCCCGGATAACCGCTAATATCCTGTGCATGAACAGTAACCCTCGACCAACTCTAATGTACCAACGTGGACCCCTGTCTCTCGTGACAGGTTCACTTAAAGAAAACTAACTGGCAAACTTCCTATAAGTCCCCACAAGGTACCATCAACAATCAAATGGTCAGTTCTATGGTTACGCGGACCCCTGACAATCGAGCCAGGTTTACGATTAGGAGTTAGTTGGCGAACCCCTAATTGTCCCCGGGTAACCGCTAATACTGCAACATATGTGACGGAGGCATAATATAATGTTCTAATCATGGAAAGCTAATCATGAATCTCAGTTCATAAGGTAGTGCATACGCGTTTTGGTAACGTTACAGCAAACATACATAATCACAATCAACATGTGTCATCTCACCTCATTCTATGCTCAAACTTCTAAAACGTACTTCTTATATCATACTTTCATGCATACTATGAGCATAGCTAGATCCAAGGTTCCGAGGTGCCACCTACCTGAAAAGCGTGACACTTTATGTTCGGACTTGCGTCTTTAGTCCAAAATTTGCCAAACTCCTCGGATAATTCCTTTGCATGCTCGTCATCGCCTCATCTTCTAGTTCGCTTCTCGCCCACGATCCTCCTCAAATCTCGTAAATCGTCCTCCCGCAAACATATAACAACTGAAATCGGGTCAATCCCTTGAAGGTTAGGGGATGAATCTAACGGTAGAAGCTCTCAAAAACCCATGAACATACCTTGGCGTTCTTCCTTCGTTCAACTTCCCTCCTCGGTTTGTATCCATCCCGCCGAACACCCGGGGATCTAAAGTCCAAGTGTCTCCGGCGAGCATGAGTTGGGTTTCAGTCTCCTACTTCCGGTAGTGCCCTCTCCTTTCGATGAACGGCAAGCCACACCCCTCTCCCCCTTCTATTCCCTCTCAAATGAGGGATGGGATTTTTTTTTTTTTTTTTCTTTCTTTCTTTTTTTT